TTCACCGTACATTGGCTTAGACGTTTCCTTTTTTAATTCGAAAACTACAGCGAATATCTCAAAATGGTATCAGACTTTTTTGTTCCCCTTGACCCATTCTACGCCCCCAATTCGACTGCGACATTATTTCTAAGACATCCTGTATATTATATAGTTCGAATTAAGCCTTGAATTCGCATCAATATTTTTTTAAGTTAATGTAATATTTTTCCTAATTTTTCTATATTTTTTCTTTATTTTTCAATATATTTTCAATTTATTTTTATTAATTTTCATAAAGTTTAAATTATTTCATTGCAATAGTAGGTTTATTCCATGAAGTAAGAATAAGGATATCTAACTATATGGATTGAAAGTGGTCATGAAAAATGTTCCGTATACTGCCACGTTTGTTGAATGGAATAACTTGCAATATTTCGTCGCCATGTTGTGGATAACTACTGGTAAAGGACACATGATGGAAAGGTTATATAGATCGAAACATACGATTATATTGTATATAAATACAAAGTTCGGAACAAATAAAATTAAATTAAATAAAAAGTTTTATATGTTTTAAGTATAATACGTCAATACCTACAGTATAATCTGATGGCAGATTGACAATGAGAGCAAATCGAGAGCTGAACTTAATTCTAACAGACTCTGCTCGGTTTCTGTCACTAATCTGCTGGCATAACATGTTTAGCAGGCTTTGTCAATTTTGTCATATTTCTGATAGCAATTTGCTAACAATGTCAGTAATACAAACTCTGTGTACAATTGAGTTGTGTACACACTGTGTACAGTTGAATCTGTCAACGAGCTTTGTCGACATATCCATAGCCAAATGCGAACACAGATGGCTACAGTTTTGTAGTCAAAGGACCCCGCAGGAAATGATAGGGAAATGGCTCTCTTCTTTCTCAAAACTAATGGCACTCACCGCGGAAATGGCGACGATTCCGGCCAAAATCGTAAATAAATATTGTAATCAAAGTATAATAGAATGGGACGAAATAATATTGTAATCTAGACAAATAGTATAACACAATGCACAGTCGAAGCCGGAAACGCTTTTCAAAAAATAAATGAGATGATGCAACACCCGAAGCGGGCGCGGCGCACGTCCGTCCCGTTCGAGTGGTCTCACGAGACTTGGGAAATGGCTCTCAGTTGAATGTCTTGAAATTGGAGTAAATGATAGTTCAGATCATGTAGATCAAAAGTGTCAATGGGCCCAAAGTCTCAAAATGGATAGTTTTCGAATTACAGCCATTTGAAACTGACAATTTTCGCAAATTGCAGAATGCTCGACTCTTGGATCGAGCGCACCTCATTTTAGGGCCAATTTCACCAACCACGGTTAGATTAACCGACGGTTAAAGTTAGCAGGGTGGCCAATAATATCATTCATATTCTCTCGTAACCTCTTATATATTATCAATTTTACGGAGCTTTGTCTATTTGAAATTTCATCAGTGAGTGAGAATACAAAATGAATGATATTATAAATTACATATTTTTTGACGAATTTGCTGGTTACAATTTAGAAAAACGTCGAAGACCACGTAAAATCAAACCACGTATAAATTATTTAGAATTGTTTGACGATGTAGATTTCAGGTCAAGGTTTAGAATATCAAAAAATCATTTTATGATATTTTTGGAAAAAATAGAAGATGAAATACGACCAAAAACTGATTGGTATGTACAAATATATGTGTGTGTATATATATATATATATATATGTGTATATATATATATATATAATAGTAAGATTATATAAATAACGTTAATTACTGTTAAATACTGTTATTTTTACAGTAATGATGCTATTCCACCTATTATACAATTGTTAGTTGCATTACGATTCTATGCAACAGGATCCTTTTTGCAAACTATTGGAGATTTCTGTGGAATTAGTATATCAAGTACTCAGAGAATTGTTCTCCATATATCCAATGCTATTGCTGCATTAAGAAATGAGTTTATAAAACTTCCAATATTACCTGAAGAAATTCGTCGAAATGAGAAGGAATGTTACCAAACTGCCAAATTTATTCGTATTATTGGCTGTATGGATTGTACTCATATAAAAATACAATCGTTTGGTAAGTAGAATTTAAGTGGTTTTTTTATGTAAATACAATATACATTCTTTTGATATATAACTTTCCCTAATATTGTAGGTGGAAAAGAAAGTGAATTATTCCGCAACAGAAAAGGATGGTTTTCCATTAATGTACAAGTTATAGTTAATGCAAGATTAGAAATTATAGATATTGTGGCACGTTGGCCAGGCTCAACGCATGATTGTACCATTTTTGATCATTCAAGGATAAAAACTTTATTTGAAACAGGCACATTTGGTGATAGTGTAATTATAGCAGATTCTGGATATGCAAACCTACCATATATTATGTGTCTATTGCAATGTCCGACAACAGCTGCAGAGCACCTCTACAATGAAGCGCAGATTAGAACGCGTTCAAAAATTGAACGTTTCTTCGGTATTTGGAAAAAAAGATTTCCAGTTTTGTCTATTGGAATGCATTTTCGTACACCTGACAAAATCCTTTCTGTTATTATTGCAACGGCAGTTTTACACAATATTATCCAACAAGATAAAGAAGAAATAAGAACCAATTCTGAAGCATATAATAATGCTATTGAATTAATGCGAAATGTGGATAATGCTAATAGAAATGTCACTGATGTACGTCATAAAATAGTGAAATATTTTGAAAGGTTAGTGTTCTTTAATAATTAATGTATGTACTTTAATAACTAAAGCTACTTTAAAAAAAATAACAGGTTAATTTAAAGCAAAATGTGAAATGTAAAATACAATACGAGGACAACACAATATGAAGAATTTCGACTCAAGGATTATGAAAGTCAATTATAAGGCAAACGATTTTACTTAATGGAAACATATTAACTGGACTTTGAATGATAAAAAGTTATATTTTAGTTTGTATTTATTAAACTTATGCATATATTTTGTACTTGCATTTGCATTGTATACAAAAAACAAAATATAGAATAAATATCCTACAATATTTTGTACTTTTTTTCACATCATGCATTTTATCACATTTCATTGCATCACATAAAATCATCACATAAACTAAACAAAAAAAACGTAATCCTTTTCTTCTTATGCATAAAACAAACAAAATAAAATTAACATTTTTATCTATTACAATTATAAAAAATATTTTATAATTAAGTATGAATATCCTTACGTATTTCAAGAGTTTAAATGTAAACAAAAACAAATTATTATTGAAAAGAACATCAACTTAATGTTAACAAAATATATTAATAATATTGCAAAATTGTTTGTAACATTTTTGACTTATAATGTAAAAATACCCCTTTTTCCTTCTACTGTTTCTTTTGTTCCTTTTTCTTTTTCAATAAGTATTTTTAATAGTTCGATTTTAAGTTTTTCTTTCTCTAATTTAGCTTCTAATATTTGTTTCTCATACTCATTCTTTTCCTCTACATTCATTTTCAGAGTATTTGCTAACTCAGTCTTTACTTCATCTAATGTTTTCTTTGAACTCTGACCGCTATATTTTATTTTTTTATATGAATTATCCGATGATGATGTTTGCATGTCTTCATCTTTCAATGGAGAACTTAGTTTTGATTTTAATTTTTGTGGGTCCCAAGATTTCCAGTTATTAATTTGTTTTTCTTTCATTAAATACTACAAAATTAAAACAAATTTAATCTTTGAAAAATTAATATATTTCTTATTGAGCAAAGTAACCTTATGTAACTTACTAATTATTAGGTACAGTAACATAAAAAACATAACTTACCGTAAATACTTCTCTATCATTTTCATCATCATCTATTTCCACAATGTTAGGTTCAATAGTTATATTTTCTTTATTTGTGGCATCAGAATCAAAAGGATTTTCTAATCCATATACTGCTGTTTCGCCCATTATTTCATTAACACGTTTTAACAAAAGATTTTCTGGTATATTTACTATTCCTCCACCTATAAATGTAATAATAATTTTAAAGATTTTTTAAATTTATATATTCCTAATATATATATAATAAATTAATACCTGTCTTATAACTTTCACGCTTCAAAGTTGCACAATATTTTCTTGCTGCTTTTTTCAAATTATCCCAACAGTAACGTAAAGCTTTTTCTGATCTTTTAATTGTTGTGTTTGCATTATATTTGTTGGTAATATCAACCCATACTTCATCCTTTTTTACAAGTGTTGAACGATCAGTTTCTTTGTTTTCAATGACATCACGTTGTAAAAATATTAAATCTAATAAAGATTCTTTATCTGC